ACTTCTGGGCTCCCCAGTACCAGACAGACCGGAGCAAGTCCAGTGAGAGGCCACAAAGGGGATCAAGGGATTGCAGCATCTGACCTACGGGGAGAGGCTGGGAGAGCTGGGACTGCTCAGCCTGGAGAAGAGAAGGCCCCAGAGCAATCTTATCAATGTGTAGAAATACCCAACGGGAGGAAACAGAGAAGATGGAGCAAGACCCTTCTCAGTGGTGCCCACCGAAAGGGGAAGAGGCAATGGACACAAGCTGAAGCACAGGCAATTCCATTTAAATATATGAAATTTTGTTTTACAGTGGGGGTTATCAAACAGTGGACTAGGTTTTCCAGGGAGGTTGTGGAGCCTCCATCCTTGGAGATGCTCAGAACCTGACTGGACACAATCCCAAGTGACCTGCTGTAGGTGACCCTTCTTTGAGCAGGGGATTGGTACTGAACCATCTCCAGAGGTGTCTTCCGACCTCAACTATCCTGTGATTCTGTGATCTGCTTTGGTTACCTACTGTAGCTTATTTGCCTTCTTAAGGTGTCTTCCTTCACAATTATGTCAACACAGAATTGTTTATCACAATAAATCCTTTTTCTTTAAACAAAATAGTTTACAGTTTTAGACTCTGAAATAGTTTCCCATTCCATTCATGTTCTATTCTGAAAGCTCCGCTTTGATCCCTTCTGTTCAGTCAGGGCTCAGTGTAATCCATGTAGCTTCTTTCAAGAGAAGCAGAGTTTAGTTTATCCATTCTCTTGCCAATTACCACTTTTCTTAGCTCTTCATCCTTCCCGGACAGCATTGAGGCCCCTTGGTGTTCACATAAGACTCATTTCTGCTTCAGAAACCACTTCATTTCTCAGACAGCTTCTCTGTGCTCTCATCTCGTGTACAATGAAGATGGTTTGCATCAGAAGTGTTAGCAGTCTTCCTTGAAGAAGAGGGCTGGTTCCTTGCACATCTTGCTTTCCAGTGTCTGACAAGCTTGTTTGAAGGTTTTTGCCCTGTAACTGTGCAAGGTAGAAATACGACAATCCTGGCAGTTTCTTAAAGTTTGTTGCAAGTTCATTAATAATTCTTCAATCTATAGTTAAGGTTAGGCTTGCCCCTTCATTCTTCTGAGTGATTATTGTAAAGAGGCCTTTGCTTTTCTAAGCAGGGGCTTTCAGTGTTGCAAATCTCAAGACAACTAGAGGAGGGATGGTGAAGAGACGGTCAAGGTCCTCTGTGGTACCACAAACAGCTGCGAGCTGAGTAGGAGTAAGGCCAAGAAGGTTGATACCATTGTATTTCTACCAAGTGCTATTGTCTTATCACTGTTATTTTAAAAAAGCAATAATTCAGTATTATTTCATATTTTGGTTGTATTGGAACTTTTTTTTGTATAGATTTTTCAGATTCTTTTGAAGGGGTATTCCATGTATCTAATTTTGATTTACTTTAGTGCTAACACCTAAGGCTTTATTTTTGTTATTAAGGCCTAAATGCCTGCTTTTGCAGATCTGAGCATTAGGTAAAACAGGAAAGACAAAAGGGAGCTTGTGGACTCTATGAAAACATATTATGAATGTTTGAACCCATATTAGAAAAAAAAAAAAAGGAGGGGAGTATCTGTCAAGTAGATGTTTTATTAAAATTCACTTATGTACATGGATATGTTCTAAGCTGAAAAAAAGTTGAAAAATAGGAATCTCCTGAAGCATTGCTGTGGTGCCACCTCTGGGTGTTTCCTGACTATTGCTGTGCCCTGTTGGTGCCACAGTAGTGATTACAGCTCTGTGGGAAATGGATTTTTTTCTTTTGCAGTGAAAACCTGGGAGTTCACAAAGTTTTTGTTTTGTGATTCAAAATAGCAGTCTATCCTTGAGGCCCTGTAAAATTTGTGCATCTATAACAACTTTCAGCAAGGAGTTTCATAAGGCTACTATTCATGTATCAAGAACCACCTTCTTTTGTTTGTTTTGAAGCCTGATACAAATTGTGTTGTCACACAGTCGATGGCTGACGTAAAGCTTTTGAAAAATACTATCTGTGCATAACTTGTAATGATAACTGCAGCCAGTCTTGGTTTAAAGCCATTATTTGTTTCTGGAAAAGACCTTTTGTTTGGTTGGTTGGTTTTCACTTTTCTTCCTTGTAGGCACTAGGCATTACAGTTTAAAGTGTTGTTCATGGCTGCTTTAACAAAGTTCAAACATTCTTTGTTTAGAAAAAGTTCAGATCACTGTTCTAAAAATTCTGTATTTCTATTTACAGTGTCTGAGCAACACACCTCCTCTTACAGAATACTTCCTCAATGATAAATACCAAGAAGAGCTGAATTTTGACAATCCTTTAGGAATGCGAGGTGAAATAGCAAAATCTTATGCAGAGCTTATCAAGCAAATGTGGTCAGGAAAATACAGCTATGTTACTCCAAGAGCATTTAAGGTCAGTAAGGAATTTAACCTGAGTGTGCATTGTCAGTTTTGGTTTTGTAGTTTAAGTATACAAAACTTAGGGAAATATGCGAGAATAACAATTTGAAATAATATTCATCACTATGCAGTCCATTCATTTAACTGTTAAAACACTTGGATGTATATTTAAGTAAGTGTCAACCGTCCTTGTCTTTTGGTCTTTGAGAATTAGTTTTGGCTTCCAGTCTCCATTGAAAAGCTTATCTTTTATAACTCTGTAAGCTTTACCTTTTCAAGTTTCTGCTGTAGCGTCTTGGAAGTATCTATTCTTTATAACAATTAAGGTACCAGAAGTATTTATTTTTTTTAGACACAAGTGGGACGATTTGCACCACAGTTTTCTGGTTATCAGCAACAAGATTGTCAAGAGCTACTGGCTTTTCTCTTGGATGGATTACATGAGGATTTGAATCGAATTAGGAAAAAGCCTTATATTCAGTTAAAGGATGCAGATGGGAGACCAGACAAGGTAGTGGTTTTGATGTTGCTCTTCTTCATTTTAGTCAAGGCTATACATTGCAAGATACTTGTACATGATTGGGTACTGGAAGATTGGGACACTGATCACACGTTACTTTTTCTGGAATAAATTTCAGAAAATAACCCAAGACCTTAAAATGGAGATTCTGTTCAAGTACCTGTGTAAATTTCTGGTCATTTGGAAGATAACTGGGGGGTGGGAAGGTGTTAAGGCTTTGTTAAGACCATTTGTTCAATTTAGTGCTGAGTTCAGGTGGAAAAACAATTTCCATTTTGTAAGGTATGCAGCATTCTGTCTCTCTCCAGTACTTTTACTTTAGGGAAACTCTTCTACCATTGAGCTGCAAGCATATAGATAATTTCTTTTGTTAGTATGAGTTACTTCAGGTGGAATTTTTAGTTTTACTTGCTTTTGTCTTGCCCCAAGCCACTTGAAGTATCTCTCAGACTACGTAATACCACTGACAGAACGTCTTTCCTAGGAAAAGCATACAGCTTTTAACCTGTGATCCTGACAGTAGTAACGTATCTTACAGGGTCCTTTGGAGCGAGATTTCTATGTTGGGTGGTAACTGAGAATGTTCTGTCAAGTCCTCTTACTAATAATTCTCACTATTCATTTCCTACTGCTTTGTCATAACCCAGGTCGTGCTTTAATTACAGGTGGTTGCTGAAGAAGCCTGGGAAAACCATTTAAAAAGAAATGATTCCATCATTGTAGATATATTTCATGGCCTTTTTAAATCCACCTTAGTTTGTCCTGAATGTGCTAAGATATCTGTAACCTTTGATCCCTTTTGTTACTTGACACTTCCATTACCGATGAAAAAAGAACGCACTTTGGAAGTTTATTTAGTTAGAACGGATCCACTTGCAAAGCCTATGCAGGTAAGCCTCTTAGTTTATGTACAAACTCCTGATTCGTGTGGTGTTAACAATGAACCCAAGTTCCTTTACGTTTTTTAAATTTATAAGTACGATAAGCAAATCCAACAAGCTTTAGTTTTCTGGTATGTGTTCTGAAGTCCCACTTAGAAAGCCTGAGGAAGACTATACATAGCTTCTTTTATTTCTATCAGTGTCAAGGAAGATATTGGTAATTTCTTTATGGTTGTGTTAATGAGGCTTCTTGATCTTTAAAATGTATCCTGTCCTCATTTTTATTTTAGTGTTGCTATAATGAATTTGTTTGGTTATAAAAAATGTATTTATGCACTTAATCCAGACTCAGTTCCTCAGTTTCGTAGCCTCAGAAGACAAATACTGGTAGCAAATGGTGCAAAAAGAACCCATGACTAAATATATTAGGTAGTCCTGAATTCTTGTATGCTATGACTTCATAGTCAAAAGAAAAAATTTTAGATGAGATTTGCCTTTTTTAGGAAGGATGGTACGTCAAAAGAAAAAATTTTAGATGAGATTTGTTTGTAAAGAGTATCTCCCTTGCCTTTTTTAGGAAGGATGGTATTACGCACCTTAGAATGGCATGAAACAATGTACATAGGGTATGGTAACAAAATCACAATTAAATGGTTCTAGCTGTATCTTGTGGGGTAAGCAAGGGTAGGTGAAATAAGGCACAGGCAGTTAGGCAGACTTGCAAAAAGGCTTTAACACCTGAAATCAGAGTACTATAAGAAGGGAAGTGGGGTAAAAGGGAGTGTTCTCAAAGGCAATATGGGTTAGGGAAGTCACAGATAAAGGGACATGTACTAACTAGTGGGAGATGAGCCTGCTTGAAATTTAATTATTTGTGAGAACAGGTTTGCACAAGGGGAACACAGGAGTTGAAGATGACCCCATATGACATGTGAGATGGTTGTGCATTAATGAATAGAGTTTGGGAAGAGTATGAGTTCCATAGAGCTTTTGTGAGTCTAAATAACTATAAGGCTTAAGGAGATACCAAACACACGCTGTGCTTGGCAATTAATTACAAAGTTATAATACCTTATTTCTAATTAATCCTGTCTTTATTTATTATGCAAATAACAGGTAAGAGTCCTGTGTGGAGTTTCATTACAAACTGCAGGTGTACTGCACTAAGGGAAGCCACAGAGAGATTTTCTTTGACTGTTAATCATCAGGTTCTCTCTCTTCATGTGAAATTAGAATTCAGTCTTTATCCATTGCCTGCCATTGCTTTTTTCCCTGGTAATAATTTATAAACAACTTGTGTTGTATTCCAAAGTTAAGAATCTAGTCAATAGCGTGCATACTATTTAAATGCTTAAATAAGTAGATGCTGTTGAAATATAAATCTAAGTAATAGGTGCTGTTGGTCATCTTATGGAGAAGGTAAAATAACATTAAGAAAAATTGTATAAACTAATAAATGTAGTATTCAAAGTGTGTGTGTTTGTATGAGTAAAGTTGTGAAGGTAACTACTACGTTTTCATCAGCTTTTGGGATTTGTGTTCATTGATTTACATACTTTACGCCTTAAGTTCAAGAATCTGAAAGAAGTACGTGAAGTATGCTGAACATGTGATGAGATAAGTTGTTTGATTTTTCCCCATGCATATTTGTTCTCTTAAGAAATTAAAGTGACTTTTTTTTTTAGTACAAAGTAGTTGTTCCCAAAATTGGAAATATATTGGATCTTTGCACAGCATTGTCGACTTTGTCTGGTGTTGCCGCAGATAAGGTAAGAGTGATTTCTTGTATGAAGCATGTACGTAGGAACATACATAGGAACATTTTAACACGTGCTAACTTGATTTAATGATATATACTCAATTTTCTTTTTAGATGATTGTTACTGATATATACAATCACAGGTTCCACAGGATATTTGGCATGGATGAAAATCTAAGTAGTATTATGGAACGTGATGACATTTATGTGTAAGTACAGATAACATGCTTCATGTCTCTTTGCAGTTTGTTTAGTCATTTGCAAAAGATTAAAACCTAGACGTAAGATAAAGACAAATCTTGGGGGTTTATGATTTTTTAATTTTTTGCCTTTATATCCTTTCAAATGACAGTTGTCCTTTGTATTTCTGATTGTTTTTCTTTTAGATTTGAAATTGCTATCAATAGAACAGAAGATACAGAACAAGTTATAATTCCTGTTTGTTTAAGGGAAAAGTTCAGGCACACTAGCTACAGCCATAGTGGTTCTTCACTGTTTGGTCAACCTTTTCTCATAGCAGTGCCTAGAAACAATACGGAAGATAAACTGTATAACCTGCTGCTGCTAAGAATGTGGTAAGGTTGTTGTTTAAAGAAAGACTTGTTATGATGCTAGTAGTTGGAATCAGTAGGCACTTGTTTTTACATACATTGCTAACAAACTGAGTCTTTTATTTGCTTTCTGTTAAATATATTAAATGTAAAATTTTAGCTACTTGAGATGTGAACTAGTGTGGATTTTAATTTTATTTTTTATTACCATGACCTCATCCAAAAATTATTTGAGAGGACAGTAGAGAGTCAATCTGTATTGTCAGTTTAGGGGAATTAATTCTGCTATATACATAGTTGTTTGTTAGGACTTAGTAAAATGGAAATTTTTTGCCAATTATTCTGCTATGTTTATATAGACTTGTATAGTAGATACTAATTTATGTTCTAAAAGCACATGGTAGCCACTTTCTGAAAGTAGACTGGAATGAATGTCATTATGTGAAAGAAATTAGAATCATATACTGTCCAATTTAAATTTATGCTTCATTTTCTGTGGATGTAACTTTCTCTGTAAGTGAACCCATAAAATTTTTTGTGTAAAAAAATATGGTTAATGAACAGGTAAAGAAGTGATTTCTAGACAGAGACTAATACCAAGAATCAAGTTGTGTAAAATCAAGCAACTGCCAAAAGCATAAGATCGTAGACAAGCAGAATTTCATATGAGCCAGTAACAGTAGACATGTCAGGCAATAAAACTGTTCATTCTGAACAAATCAGAAAGGAGTGCAGGAATACAGTACACTAGAAAGGATTTGCTGTAACCATTTAATTATTTGGCTTGAATAATGTAAATATTTAACAATCTATTGATTCTAACTGTCGCTTTCATTTGTTACATATAGCCGATACGTAAAAACATGTACGGAAAGTGAAGACTCTGAAGGATCCCTACATTGCTGTAAGGACCATGGTATCAATGGTAATGGCCCAAATGGAATACATGAAGAAGGATCTCCAAGTAAGACTGGAATATCTAAACTTGTTTTGTATTTTGTGTTCAATTTGAAACTGAAGTTAATTCTGTAGTGTCTTTCAATTATTGTTATTCTACCTCATTTCTTCCTCCTTATTCTTCCGATTGTTTCAGGTGAAATGGAAACAGATGAACAAGATGATGAATCCAGCCAGGATCAGGAACTTCCTTCAGAGAATGAAAACAGCCAGTCAGAAGACTCAGTTGGAGGTGACAATGACTCTGAAAATGGATTATGTACTGAGGATACTTGCAAAGGTCAACCACTCACGGGACACAAAAAGCGATTGTTTACATTCCAGTTCAATAATTTAGGCAATACTGACATAAACTACATCAAAGATGATACCAGGCATATTAGATTTGATGATAGGCAACCTAGGCTTGACGGTAAGTCATGGGGAACGAGTTGGGCAACACTGGATTCTGATACTTTTTTCTGACCCCACTTCCATAGAATAGTGTTTCATTCTGTCTGTGTGCTATTTGACATATCTCTTTTCCAATAGTAAACTCTGTACAACTGATTAATTTGTAATTAACTCTTAGAAATGCAGAAATTGTGTGTGCTTCAATTTTTCATCTTAAATTCATGCTAGCATTGTTTAATCCATTTTGAAGAGTGTTTGCCCAAAGTTAATACAATTTCATGTCAAGCAAGAAATAAGAGGAAACATGTTTTTAATCTTAGAAAGATCTTTCCTTGCTTTGGATTGGGATCCTGAATTGAAGAAGAGATACTTTGATGATAGTGCAGCGGAGGTAAGCTGTTTATGTTGCTCCCCTTTCCAGCACTAATAAAACTTAAATGTGAAAAATACAACTTAATTAATGTGACGTAAGAGATTGTAAGTCTTCAGAAGAAGAAGCTAGTATATCTTTTTTCACATTATTCATAGTACATATGTTGTCATAAATAAACTTCAATTACACATCTCAGTAATTAGCAAATCTGAGGCTTACCGATTTTGAAGCAAATCTGAAGCTGTGAAAACTTTTTTTGCTTGAATGGTTTCTGATCAGTTTTTCCATATATAGGAGCTTTGTAGTTACTGTTTATAGTAAGACGACATCACTAAAATGAGTTTTGTTTCATTTGTTCTCTTAACTCAAGAAATACTTCTCTTTAGGATTTTGAAAAACATGAAAGTGTGGAATATAAGCCTCCCAAAAAGCCTTTTGTGAAATTAAAAGATTGCATTGAGCTGTTCACAACAAAGGAAAAACTAGGTGCTGAAGACCCATGGTAAGGACAAAAAAAATAAAGTTGTTATGTTCTATGGTTTATTTCTCAAAATGTAATCAAAACCACACTTGAACACTAACAGAGATACCTAATTGATTTCTTAATGGTATTTTGAATCTTGTCATTTCAAGTATAGTTGAAAATTCTCAAAATGTTTTCTATTTTGATCCATTGCCTCGCTAAAATTGTTATCATATACAGACGGTTATGTTTGTATGGGAGACAATTAATGCATTCAGAATTAGGAGGAAGGGTAGATCCATAAGATATTCTGGTCTGTGAACTGTGATCCACAGTGAATGAATAATATTGTGCCAAATCCAACACAGTGATTTAAACAAGTATTCCTTTCTGAGATCAGAAAGGTTCATGCATACTGAAGGGTTTTTTTATGCAAATACGTAACTCGCCTTGCATTGATACACAAAATAGGGATGTGCTTAAACAACAGGTTTGTGGGATGAGGGATGTCTGCAGTCAGTAGAACCTCTCGAATTCATGTTCCAGCCATTACGGTTTTTGGCAGAGACTTTTATTCTGATTGATGGTTCTTCCAAATTATGATTTGGAATCTTATCTAAATACTCACAATTGTAGGATGTTCCTATAAGATCCTTCTTCTCCAGGAGTTTTCTAGCAGATAAGAATCCTTCGTCAACACCTGAAGTTCAGAATTAAGTTTGAAAAGAGGGTCTGCCACTTTTGTGGATACTTGAAAGTTTTGGAGACTTCCGAACTTTGTCACCAGAGATCCTCCTTTATTTGGGCAGGAGAGAGGACTGACTTAGAAATTCTCGTTTCTTTTCTGAGTTTGCTAGATTATACAACAGTGGATAGACTATTTGAGATACGATGTAACTCAAGTATGGTGAAGTGCTTCCATTTTTGCAGCACATTTTAAGCAGAGTATTCAAAATACAACTACTGCTGAAGTCAAGCAGTTACTACTAGATACATCTCACCAGAGGTCGTTAATCACATTTTTTCTTAATTTGTCAGGTCTTCACAGGTCTAATCTATGTGAGCCCATCATCCCTAGTCCAGCGCTATTTGTATTCTAGATATTCTAAGCCAACTGGGAAAACCGTTCTTCAGTTACAGCCTGCCCTTACAGTTCTCCTAATTTCTTGTCTTTATCTGATGTTGCTACGTAAAGACACTTGTGCAGTCTTTTTTAATTAGAGCTCATCTATTTTTTTCCTAGATCTTTACTTGTTAGATACCAAGATGTAGAATATGCGCAGACCACTTCACAGAAGAGTTGCTTCCATGCGTTGTTCTTACTTACCTTCCTGAGCCTTAGTTCTTGAAAGATTAGAGTATGCATTGCAGGGAACACAAATTTTTAAGTCAGAGCCTGTTTAGTCCTTGCCTACTAAGGAGGCAAGGTTTTTTAGTAAGGAGTTTTCTCATGTTCCAGTAGTCACTATTACCTGGTTTTAGTGGTAGGTGGGAGATGGATGAATTTGGACATTGAAACTTGGAAGAACCACAATTGTCTGTTATAGATGGCTTTTCATATAGTCGGTTTTCCTGAAGTATTTTCATAACCCTTCGTCTTTTTATAAAATATGAGAAGAATGTGTTTTAGCTAAAAGATACAGGGACTACTGTAGAAGATGAGAACCCTGTATTGGGGGGTGCTGCTTAAAAAGCTGTCGAGCTTTACTCTGAGCACCCTAGTACCTCATCCTTTAAACTGGAAAGGGCTATCAATGGCATTAGTAACAGAAGATGGAACGTGTGTGTGTTTCAGCTTTTGCTCATTCAGTTCCTTCCATGTTACTGGGTTTCTCTATGGTAATGTATTCTAACATACGTATGGACTGCAGGCATTTAAAATTGATTTTTTTTTTTCTTTTTAGGTATTGTCCAAACTGTAAAGAACATCAGCAGGCTACTAAGAAGTTAGACTTGTGGTCACTGCCCCCCGTACTGGTAGTTCATCTAAAGCGCTTTTCCTACAGCAGATATATGAGGGACAAGTTGGATACATTGGTTGACTTTCCAATAAAGTAAGAAACCTAAATATTTTGCTGCTGGAAGTGTAAAAGATTACATGACTAGGGCACAGGTTCAATCCAGCAATTATGTGAAATGGTTTTGTTCTGAGCTCCCATGCGTGGATCCAGTAAGTGCTGATGACAGAATGCTTGTAGGTGAAAAGCATGAACTTGGAAAAATAAAGTAGTAGATAAGTATGGAAGAACTCTATCAGTAGTTTTGGCTGAGATTACTGATTCCTGTTCCACTCCTCACAGAGTGAAACAGATGCACTGTCAGTGTCGTCTGGTGTAGGTGGGTTTTGTGGGGAATATAAAGGGCTCAAAGACTACCAAAATGTGAAATGGTTAAAAATATTATTAACATGACCTTCTTTTGGTTGTTTTTTGTGTGTCATTTGTTGTTTTCTTTTTTTCAATCAGCGACTTGGACATGTCAGAGTTCCTTATTAATCCCAATGCAGGGCCTTGCCGCTACAACTTGATTGCTGTCTCCAACCACTATGGAGGAATGGGAGGAGGGCATTGTAAGTGGATTTCAAATACCCTCGTTCTACATGACAGCTTTCTTCCCATGTTTATTTTAAGTACTGATCACTCTGAATTGATGGCATTTTTTAATGGTTGAGGGAGGTGTTTTCATTACCTTTAAATGCTTTCACAAGTATTTTAACAGAAAAATCTATATGAAATGAGCTTTGAAGGATAATTGTAGACACTTTTAAACTTCTAGCTATGCATATTGTGAAAAGAGAACACGTAAGAGCTTCAGAAGAGCTGCTGTATTACAACTGATTTTGTCTTGTCTGTATTTTTGTACATTGTGCATCTCCTTGAAAGAAGAGAGAAAAATGAAAAAGTGACTGAGGGATTTTATTTTGACTGTCCTCTCTCACTATACCTTGACTTTAGAAGGGGAATGTTATTGGTTAGGCTTTCTTTGCTTAAAAAAAAAAGAAATGTGAAAGTATGAGTCTAATAAGGATAGTAAGTTTTAGTTAGTTAAGTGTCAAGTATTTGACAGTAACAGATCCTAGCAACTGATTGTATTACATCTGTGAAGATACAAAGTCCTTAGACGTTGTACTTTTTTGTCCTAGATACTGCCTTTGCAAAAAATAAGGATGATGGAAAATGGTACTACTTTGATGACAGTAGTGTGTCCACTGCATGTGAGGACCAAATAGTGGCAAGTACCTTTTGTGTTTCTAAAATGGGGACTGTTGATGTCTTCTTCTTGAGTGAAATAAAACGAAGAGTAAATCATTGCAGTGCCTTGCAGTAAATTTGTAGGTAGTGGTTTGTGTTCCTTCGAAGGACACTACAAAACAAAAGTGGTTTGCTCCCACGTGCAAAAATAATTTCTATGAAAGCTTTGGATTTTGTAATTTTGCCATATAGATTTGGAAGCAAAAACCAAATGGATAACTTGGATTGTAAATGTTTTGTCTGGAGCCTCATGAGCATATTGCGCTTCTCTTCTACAGTCCAAAGCAGCGTATGTGCTCTTCTACCAGAGACAGGACACCATCAGTGGAACTGGCTTTTTCCCTCTTGACCGGGAAACCAAACAAGGTGCTTCAGCTGCCACAGGCATCCCACTAGAAAGTGATGAAGACAGCAATGAAAATGATAATGATATAGAAAATGAAAATTGTATGCACACTAACTAATGGAAGAACTAGAAGCCATAAAAGAGACTTTCTTACTGGGGATACCTATTGAAAGAGGGAAATTGCCCACCAAATTAAGAATAAAAATCTGAGATGGGGAATTTCAGATAACAGAATGTAAATCTTTATTACATTTTAACATGTGCAGTACTTGAAGCGAAACAATAAAAACTTAAACAGAAATTGTCTCTAATGCATTTACAGTCTTGTATTCACAAGCTATATATAGGAAATCACAAATAAACCCCTTTTAAGTTTTCTGCTGCTGTTCTGATGGATTATGTTTTCTTTTCTTTTGGATGTGAGTTAATAACTAAAATGTTAAATCTGTGGACTTCTGACATTTATTTTCTTAGTACTGCAAGAATACTACTGCCAAGTCTAGTTTCTGGATGAATATATACGTGTTCCTTAGGCTGTCACACAGACTACAAGTAAAAATGTCATAAATATATAAGCAGTAGTTTTCTTGAAACAGCAAATTTTTGTTTCTCCCTAAATTTTTTTCTTTTTTTTTTAAATTTGGTCACAATAGAAGAAATAGCTTGAAAAGGTGTTTTAACCTTTGTGATATAGTTGAGCATCCAGAATATTATGTTCATCTTACTGCTGCTGTGGAACAGGTTCTGGATTTCATGCTGCATTAACAAAAAGGTTTTCAATTAAATGTAAGTATCCTTTGTTGCTTGTTGGAATCTACTCTGCAGACATAATTCCTGTTATCTTGCTTATAAGACATGCATAATTTTAATCTGGTGTCAGTCCAAAATTTAAAATTGTGCTGTAAGTTCTCTCTCCCCAGTTTTTGTAGTTTGACAGCTTGCAAACTACTCTGTAATAGGGTCAGTTAATAGTATTCTGTATCCATAGTAATGACTGTGTATCGGGCTTAGACGAGAATTTTTTCAATATAACCTGCCTTTAAATTGTTAACGAATGAAATGAGTTTAAAGGCAGGCCTGTTAATTTTCTTTGTGTGTTCCTGATGGAATTCACCATAGCCTTACAGCATATCTGAAAAGGTAACTCGTTATAAGAGAATTGGCATTTGCATGTTCAAGTCAGAACCTGTACAGTATATAAGGCGTTCAAACTTTGAATTGGATTTTAGTTAACGTATGTTCAGGGGTCCAGGATGCCAAAATAAGTGTGACAGTTTGAAACATTTTTTAATTTGCTGCTTTCCCTTTGATCTGGTTGGAAGAATGTATTGTTGATTTGTATACAATACTGCCTTTGAGAGGGGCTCGTAAGTGCGGGGGCACACTTCACATATCTACTACCTGGAGAATTGCTTTGTGTCCCACTGTTTAAACAAATAATTTAAAAAAGAAAAAAAAGCAAAAAGTATGATGTTCTTCACTTGAACTAATCGAATACAATAGGTTATAAATTGTGTATTGTAAATAAAAGTTCACTCTGTGAGTGCACATTTTGGTAAATTATTTATTTATGTTAGCATTTAAAAGTTTAAAAGATTGCATTTGACCAGGATATAAATGAGGTATGTTGGTCATGGCTTTGCTTTATACCTTGATATTAAAACTGGTGTTTCATCCTGGTATTTTAAAGCTGCTTTGAGGTTTCTTTTTTTTTTTAAATGTAAACTAACCTCCTGCATGACAGAGGTTAAAATTTTGTCTGCACTTGAGTTCACTTGGGTTTACATTTGAAATGCGCATGTTTATTTATACAGATTTCAATAAAGCTATTCAAGGCCTTATTTTAGTCTTCCATTTTCTTACAAATTCTTTTCTGGCAGTGTTTGTGTAATGCGTAGTCTTTGTCTAAGGCTCGTATGATCGGGTACAAGAGGGCTATTTAATGACCGATAAGATTGATAGTATTTCCAGAAGATAATATTTATAAAAGGGGTTCGTCTGGCTCTAAAAACATTTATAAGGCTGAAAAAAAAAGTTTATTGTCATAAAAACCTATTATTTGTTTTTTAAAAGTAATACTGTAGCAGTAATTAATCAAATGGAAAGACACTAACTCCAAGGTGGTTGGTGAAATGCGACAATTTATTTAAGATTAGACAAACCGATATGGTGGAGGGAAAATGATACAAGCTTTTGGCTTAAAACCTTATATTTAGGTGTGGAATTACAGTAAGCCAGTACAAAGCTATGTACTATAAATAGCTTGTGAGTTTAACTTCCTTACTCTTTTCAGAGCACTTGAGAGACGAGATTTCCTAGAGAAGCGATCATCTCTGACTGACACACGCGAAGAGCCCCCTGCATTCCTACTCCCGTATCAGGGTAGCCTGGAACTTGCTTGGGAAAATCACGAAGGAGCAAAGGATCTGGTTTGACTTGAGCAAAGGATCTGGTTTGACTTAACCAAAGTCTCGCTTTGGCATTTGTAGATCGGAGCTTTAGTATTTGTTAGCTCAGTCTCCTAACACACTTCATTCTCCCTTTGAAGATGCAGATAGATATATACATGTAGGGGATCTTCTATTTGAAGGAATGTACTTGCCTACTAATAGCTGGATTATCCAGATCAAATTTAAAAGGGTATTGATCAAACTAACATTTAGTTAGGAAAAAATTACATAGTTTCTAATTATTTTTTTTTGTTATTGTTACTTTGGCTTCCAAGATTACACACACCGAGTTTGTGTAATCAGCTTCCTAATGAGATACAAAAATCAGTAACAGTTCTGTGTGACTGTCTCAAAGGTTTCTGGGAATTCAGCCAAGTTGTGAGTTTCATGAAACTACTATGTGTTCACACCTAAGTTACGATAATTCATCCAGTGTGGACATGCTTAAAATTAAAACTACAGAAAGCATATTCTTTACGTTGTCTGCCAAAAGTTATTGTCACTCAACCAGTCATTTATACAGAGAAGAAAGAGGGTCCTGACATCTCTTCTTATGAGTCATGTCTGATAAAAATCTGCAGCGTGCTTTTTTCAGTTACATTGACAGAAAGCTTTGTGGTGGCTCTGAGTATCAGCACAGACCCCAAAATGACAAGATACAGTTAGCCTTGTTACCGTGAGAGTCACAGAAACAAAACGGGGTAGGAGGCAGAAGACAGCTTGCAGTTCCTCGTTACGGCACGGATTTTGTGACAGCAATTACGTCATTTAAAGCCTGGCTAGGAGGGAAGGAGAGGTGAAGAGATACTGCCCAGGTCCTCTTGTTTTAGTTGGCTTCAGACCGCATTCAGGATGCTTTGGTGCAGATCCGTTCCCTGATGATGTATCATCAACTTTAATTAAAGTCCTGCCTGCCTTCCTGGCAGGCTGAAGTGAAGTTTGCCACTTAGAGTTGAGAGCACGGACGAGAAAAGCTGTTAGACATTACCTGGCAGATGACGTAGAAACATCTCCATGTCTCCTGCATCTACAGGTCGTTGCTCATGGAAAGGCCACAACCCCTTCGAGCTTTCCCAGCAAGTTAGCACTGGGTTACGGAGGGCACTGTGGGTTTTAAGCGTTTTGAAATCTTTAGAGGGAAGTCAGTATGGCAGGCAAAGAAATTAATTGGCAAACCCACAAGTTCTCTTCAAAAATTATGCCGCCGCCTTTGATGTCAGACTGTAATGTTGGGGTATGGTTTCTCATTGTTTCTAAGTACTAGTTACTTTGACAAAGAAAATCACTATAAATGTAGTGAAACAATGAACACAAAAGCTGTATTTGATAGAATAAGCATATTCTTAGTCTGCAGGCAAATTCTTCTCTTCAGATTTTTTAGTTCTTTTTCCTTGGGGGTAAACAAACTGTGACAACAGTTCCACTTTCTTAATTCCAACATCGCGTGCTCTACTGGCACCATGTGCTCCCGAGGCAGGCAGAGCGACCTGTCTTACTGAAAAGAAATTAAATCTTGGCATAGCATGGAAACCTCAGGAGAGTCCAGATGTGACAAATTTGTGAGCAATTTATCCCATTAACTAGGGAATGCTCTGGGTTAGTCCCTGTCAGGTAGCATGAGCAGTCATCCTGGGCCAAATAATGCAAGGGCTGATACAAGACTCAAATGATACAGAATTCACATCAGTCAGTATGGTTTTAGGAAAAGTAAGTTTTGTTATTTGGGGCCGGGACAGTAAGTGGAAAAGAGAGTTGGTATATATTATAAGTTTATAATGTAGGTGCACCTAGGATTATTGAAGTGCTTTGCACTTAATTATCACCTTAAGTATCACATTACTCTCATCAAAACATGAGCGTTCTGCCGTATCACCCGATACAAACTTCAGGAACTGACCAAGAATTTCAAAATGGTTTCCATTAGGAAATCATTGTGGAATAGGGGTGTTATTGGAGACGTGAGTGGCACTTGGTCTTAAATGAATGTTTTTATTCAGTGTGTAAAATATTCAGATCATAGCTACAGAAGGTGGAAGGTAGCAAGTCCCCCTGAATCCTGGGTGGTGCTGGAGGAGGAGCAATCGGCGTGAGCTCCCAGTGAGGAGGAGAAATACGCAAGTTAGGACAGCTCTTAGGGGACTGGTTTCCTTGGGCAATTTGCTGAAGAGGAGGAGAAGGTATTTGGGTGCTCTTTGAGCTCCGCTCCCCCCATTCCGATGGGGAAAGAGCAGTGTCCACAGCCCCCTGTGTCATTCGGCTGGAAGCGAAGAGGGCAGCAGAGGTTACACGCTATTGCTACTCTGCAGCTGCATTTGCCAAAGCAAATAACACCTATTAGTCATGTTGACTAATTTTGCATGACCTAGTAGCTGCTCAATGAATTAAATGCAGTGTCTAAATAACATATTTATTTGGTGAGATGTCCTGCGTAACTTTGCCACGTATGACATGGATCCTAAATACAACTTGTAGAGCCGAGACCTAAATTCAGCTGCATTTGTCAAAGCATACTAGGACTGGCGGTAACAGCAGTTTGATTTTCACATCTTTTACTTTAAAAAAATCTCTGCCACCACTAAGTTTCTGGCTACTGACACGATGTGAATGTTTTGGGGGTTTACTGTAAAATACAGTCATTTATATACTGAAAATGTTTTCCCAATGTTTCCCAATTTCTCAATTAAAAAAGTGGTGAACGTTTTAGATTAATGAACCACAGTTGGGCAATGAAGTCAATGGAAATGTTTGGATCAAGCAGATTTCTGAGGCATATAATAGACAATAATCACAATCAACTGATGGGATGGAGATGATAAAATTTTCTTCATAAAATATTCCGAATTGTTGAATT